ACACACGAAGATCAGAGCAAGTATCATGTGCGAACGTGTGGCTCCAGAGTGAGTCAAAATTGGGGGGGCGTCCTGTTTCAGGAACCTAACACACAGAGACGACCCGTGGCCCCCCGTGATCAACACAGCAACCAACATTTGTTATTTTAGGCTTTAATTACCAAATAATTTCATGGCAATAGGCAATCGCCCATTCAATTGATACAACTTAAAAAAGTCCCTGTTTTTAGCCTAGTGTGAGAAATACAGTCGGACTAGATCCAAACCAGAGTCCAGAACCAGCGGGGGCAGGTCCGGTTCAGTGGGCTCAGAAGGAGCTGGAGCGGGGAGCCTCGACCTGAGGAAGAACTTTCCCAGGGAAGAACCAAATGCGCGAGGACGGACGCTCAGAACAACATAGAACAAACCAAACTGGACTCACGCTTCTGTCCGGATGCTGCACACCCCGGAACAGCCGCGGTTCTTGAGCGCGGAGAACCGGAGCAGTGCGCCGGACCTGTGGTCCAAGCGCATTCACTTTCCCGCACAGAACCAGCGCACAGACGACTGAAAGTACCGCTCGGACTCAGTCCATCAAGCACTGGTCTTGCTCGCCACATTTGGAACCAGCACATGGAGGATGGGCCTCATCTGACCAACGAACTTGTAACAGACCAGGACCAGACCCAGCCCCGTCCTGAGGAGCTGTTGGCTGCTGCTGTTACCTGAACTCTGGCTGATGCGGTGAGTTTGTACAAGTTCTACATGTTGCTGTTTTATGATTCATGGTGATAATTTGAGATGAGGACGACCCGCGGTTTTAACAGGAACATCGGTGTTGATAACTGGAGTATCGCTGTTTTCCGGGAACAGAGACACGTGAATCGAACCAGTTTTGGTTCGTTTGCCAGTGTGAACGCGGACACACTGGAGTGTATTTGCTACATAATAACAATTTTATTGCCTGGTGCGAACCAAATAATCGAACTAGCGGTGTGAAAACGACCTTAATTAATCAATTAGACGAGTAAAGGAGCAGAGGAGATGGTCAAACAAAAACTGTCAAACCGAAGTGTCGAGTATTTTATTGATTGGTCAAAGGTCCATAAAACATGCACCATTATCTTTTTATTAGTGAAGACAGGAAAGTTAAGCTTGAAAATTAAACATTTACACTTTAAACAATCGTTCTATTCATCAAATTTTAGTTATTCAGCACAAAACTTATGATTTAGAAATTCTTTGGTGAGCAACTTGGAAGAAGGTGGAGACTCCTGCTCCAAGAAGAACTGACCAATCACAAAGCCCCCCACAAATACTCAAATACTCTCCTAGACACATCAAGAATCTCAGACTTCGATCATTACGCAATCCAGACTGGGAAGGATTTTCCCAAAAAGTGAGCATCAAACCTCCATGTTTGTTTTCCCAGTGGGACGTGTCTATTGTCAAAGTCGATCTTTTCAAGTCTTTTGAACCATATCACTTTTGTTTCTGGTTCTGATATTGTCATATTTTAGTTCTGGGATTCGGACGTCGTAATTGTTGTGGTTGTTGGATCCAAACAGCGGAAAACAACACGAGAAATGGGCTTCAGAAGTTTGTGAACTTCATAAATGCAAAAGTGAATCAGATGTGTGTGACTCAAACCTCTGTTCAAACTGTTTCTCTTCCCAACGGAATTGAAAAATAGTGAAAGGTGAAGGTGATGGGCAGGATTGATCCACAGGAAGAACCAAAAATTTGACCGACTAAATCATCCTGAGTTTGCTGAGAATATTTTGTGTGAGGATGAATTTAAAAAGTCAACGCCAAAGTGAAAGTCTCCAACTGTTCACCAAGAAACACCTTCCACTGCAAAGACCAAGACGTGATGTTTCTGTAAAACCACAAGAACAAGAAAGTGCAGCTCAGTCTGTTTGTCTTCTGCTCTCTACATTAACAAACGGGATTTTGTTTTGTTGTCGCTCCACATACAAAATGTTCTCTGTAAACTCGGGATGATTTCTTAGTCAGACAAATGTTTCCTTTTTGGTTCTTCCTGTGGATCAATCCTGCCCATCACCTTCACCTTTCACTATTTTTCAATTCCGTTGGGAAGAGAAACAGTTTGAACAGAGGTTTGAGTCACACACATCTGATTCACTTTTGCATTTATGAAGTTCACAAACACATTTCTCGAGTCGTTTTCCGCTGTTTGGATCCAACAACCACAACAATTACGACGTCCGAATCCCAAAACTAAAATATGACAATATCAGAACCAGAAACAAAAGTGAAATGGTTCAAAAGACTTGAAAAGATCGACTTTATCAATAGACACGTCCCACTGGAAAAACAAACATGGAGGTTTGATGCTCACTTTTTCAGAAAATCCTTCCCAGTGTGAATTGTGCAATGACCAGACGTCCGAGATTCTTGATGCGTCTATTGTCTACAAAAAACGAACAAAAAAATAAATAAAAAGTGAAGTGCTCTGTTGAAGTGAATCCCTGAATATTTGTGCAAAATCTAAGTTCCTGATGCGCAATAAATTCAAATGTTTTGGAGAAAAAATTAAAAAATTGGCATTGCCAGTGTGTTAACTCTTAAACTCAAGTGTTTGAAAATAGTTAACGATGGTTAATAATATAAATTGTGAAGTTAGGTTCAAAGTTCATTATCTGTTGTTGTGTTTTACTTCAGTTAAATTGTCCGTTTTTCCTGCAGATTTAAGTTCACCTCTGCTGCCCCCTTCTGTTCGAGTCATGTTTGTACGAGCAGCAAAATCATTCAAGAAATCACTTCAAAATATTAAGAGTCAAAATAAATAAGTAAACACAGTTTGGAAATTTGAGGGGAAATAAATCAGTCAAAATTGAAACACAAATATTAACCCAAACCTTTTATTTCCTCTCAGATAAAACAAAGACGATTAAGGATCAAATGTTGCTTCCCTCATGTTTTTGGAGACCAGCACCGCACCCGCCCATAAACCCGGGATTATATCAAAACTAAACCCACACCCGCCCGAACCCATTAACACTCCACCCGTTACCCGCCCGAACCCGAGATAAACACACAAAAAAACATTTAACTGAAGCGTCCGTCAGAACATGAACGGAAAAGTTACGACTTCAAGAAACTTTTCACTTTCTTCAGTAAGAACAGAACCAGGACTGAACCAGGACTGAACCAAGACTGAACCAAGACTGAACCAGGACTAAACCAGGACTGAACCAAGACTAAACCAGGACTCAACCAGGACCGAACCAAGACTAAACCAGGACTAAACCAGGACTGAACCAGGACTGAACCAGGACTGAACCAGGACTGAACCAGGACTAAACGAGGACTAAATGAGGACTAAACCAGGACTGAACCAGGACCGAACCAAGACTAAACCAGGACTAAACCAGGACTGAACCAGGACTGAACCAGGACTGAACCAAGACTAAACCAGGACTAAACCAGGACTGAAACCAGGACTGAACCAGGACTAAACCAGGACTAAACCAGGACTGAACCAGGACTAAACCAGGACTAAACCAGGACTAAACGAGGACTAAATGAGGACTGAACCAAGACTGAACCAAGACTGAACCAGGACTGAACCAGGACTGAACCAGGACTGAACCAAGACTGACTGAACCAGGACTAAACCAGGACTCAACCAGGACTCAACCAGGACTGAACCAGGACTAAATGAGGACTAAACCAGAACTGACCCAGGACTAAACCAGGACTAAACCAAGACTAAACCAGATCTGACCCAGGACTAAACCAGGACTAAACGAGGACTAAACGAGGACTAAATGAGGACTGAACCAAGACTGAACCAAGACTGAACCAAGACTGAACCAGGACTGAACCAGGACTGAACCAGGACTGAACCAAGACTGAACCAAGACTGAACCAAGACTGACCCAGGACTAAACGAGGACTAAACCAGGACTAAACAGGACTAAATGAGGACTGAACAAGACTGAACCAAGACTGAACCAAGACTGAACCAGGACTGAACCAGGACTGAACCAGGACTGAACCAGACTGAACCAAGACTGAACCAAGACTGACCCAGGACTTAACGAGGACTAAACCAAGACTAAACCAGACCTGACCCAGGACTAAACCAGGACTAAACCCGAACTCATCCAGGACTGAACCAGGACTGAACCAGGACTCACTGTCGGTCGGGCTCGGACTTGCACCCGTGTAAACCGTCGAGTCACCGCGGGCGAAAGAACCAGTGTAGAGCTCCGCGCCTCATGGAGGTGAGGGCAACCGTCGCCCGATCACGTTTTGCTCTGCTCCACGGGCTCAGGGTTCTCTCTCTAAGTCCAAGATTCATCCTGGTTTAGTCCTGGTTTAGTCCTGGTTTAGTCCTGGTTTAGTCCTGGTTTAGTCCTGGTTTAGTCCTGGTTTAGTCCTGACCCACCAGTGTGTAATCTCTACCCGTGTGTAAAATTCCAACGTTAAAACCCAAACGTTTCAGCAAATATTTGCCCGAACCCGTCATGTTGTCCACTTCTTGTGTAATTCTGTGTTTGGCATTGACTCAGTCTAGTTTCATTTGGTGTTGATTATAAAAGGGGTGAAAAAAAAAGTTAATTTATCTATAAACATTTTAAAAATAGTTCATCCAAATGATTCTAGTGAAGTTTTACAGAGTTTAAAATCAGAATGGAGCTCTTTCTGTATCACCACATGTTTTCTGTTGAAGAACTCGAACCTCACCCTAAATGTGGCAGAGAGTTTGTGAGTTAAACACGTGAGAACGAAACAAAACACAACTCCAGGTCTTTTTGTGACGAGGAAACGACATTAGGACAAAGATCAGAAAGAAGAGCAAGACAAAAAATTAGACTAAGAGTGAATAAAATGGTTGTGTAGCCTTTTTAAACCTCAGTGTCCATGAGGTGAAGAGTTGAGTTGTGGAGTTCACTTGTAGATGGGGATGATGTCGGTGGGACATTTGAGGGACATTTGTGGGACATTTGTGGGACATTTGAGGGACATTTGTGGGACATTTGTGGGACAGGTCACTTGTAGATGGGGATGATCTCGGTGGGACATTTGCACAGAGCTGGGCAGTTCTTGGTGACGAAGTCGTTGCAGCTCCCGATGACGGACTTGAGCGCGCGACAGTTCAGGAAGCGGTTTATGTACGGACACGGGTTTGCTGGAATCACAAAAAAAAATAAATAAATAAATACACTGGTGTAAATATGTTCTAATGTAACCGGACTGAACCAGGACTGAACCCTGAATAAACAAGGACTAAACAAGGACTGAACCTGGACTAAACACAGACTAAACCAGTCCTAAACCAGGTTTCTAACTAGTCTTAAACCAGGCCTAAATCAGTCTCAAACCAGGCCTTAAGTGTGAGAAATAAACCAGGTCTAAACCAGGTCTAAACCAGGTCTAAATCAGTCCTAAATCAGGTCTAAATTAGTCTCCAACCAGGCCTTACGTGTGAGAACTAAACCAGGTGTAAACCAGTCCTTAACCTGGTCTAAACCAGTCCTAAATCAGGTCCAAATTAGTCTCAAACCAGGCCTTGAGTATGGGAACTAAACCAGGTCTAAACCAGGTTTTAACTAGTTTTAGACCAGGTCTAAATTAATCCCATACGTGCTTTTAAATGTGAGAACTAAACTAGGTCTAAACCAGTCCTAAACCAGGTCTAAATTTGTTCTAAACCAGGCCTTAAGTGTGAGAACTAAACCAGGTCTAAACTAGTTTTTAACTAGTCCTAAATCAGGTCTAAATTAGTCCCAAACCTGCTCTTAAGTATGAGAACTAACCCAGGTTTAAACCAGTCCTAAACCAGGTCTAAATTTGTCCTAAAATAAGTCTAAATTAGTCCTAAAACTGGTCTAAACCGATCTTAAACCAGTCCTAAACCAGATCTAAATTAGTCCCAAACCAAGCCTTAAGTGTGAGAACTAAACCAGGTCCAAACTAGTCCTAAACCAGGTCTAAACCAGTCCTAAACCAGGTCTAAATTAATCCTAAACCAGTCCTAACAGAGTCCTTCCCCCGGCCTGTGTGATACTGACTGCAGAGTTTGTTGACGCAGTTGTTGGGGCACATTCCACACGCTTTTCCCGCCGTGTACGGGTGCCACGTTTTGAAGTTCCCTCTGTGGAAACAAAACCAGGTCAAATCAGCAATGACGTAAACACACTCTGGATCTGTGAAGTGTTTTTGGACGTACGCTCTGTAGTATCTGCAGCCGTAGAAGTAGATCGGCGATGGTCGGTTGGTGCACTTCGCCATGGCGCATCCGACTTTGTACGAACTGTTCCAGACGACCTGCACAGACGAGCACAGTCCGAGTCAACGCAACGGAACAACAGAAAACATGTCATTAAAAACTGAAAACAAAACTGTATTAAAAGGGTTAAGTGTCTTGCCCAAGGACTAGGGTGACCAGACGTCCATTTTTACCCAGAACAGTCCCAGTTGTGAGCCTGTGTCCTCTGTCCCTGCAGATTTATACAAAACCATTGATCTGTCCCAGTTTTATTCAAGAAGTGTCACAAATGTCACACTTTTTGACAAGTCTAATCCCCACCAACAGTGAAGCGGGCAATATAGTGACATTTGTTAAACTAAAATACACAAAATGGTGTTTGAAAATGACCATAAAGCGAAAAAAATAAACCAACTGAAGTCCTGCCAATTACATACTGACCCACAAGTCGAGAACAAACAATGTTACGCAGACTTTTATTTATACCAACCGTCCCAACCCGGGTTTGTCTCAGTTTTAGATGTTGAAATTCTGGTCACTGTAAGCATTAGTGTTGTAGTACTGGAGACCGGCCTTAAGACCACTTTTTTACAATATTAAGATAAGATAAGATAAGATAAGATAATCCTTTATTGTTTCCCATGGGAGAAATTTGTCTTGGGACAGGGGGTCACATGCTTTATCAAAAAAACAGGACAACACAACACAAAGCAGCACATAAACAAACACCATAAAACAAAGTAAATATGAGACCAAGTCTGACCACGAGTGATGCACCAACACGACCCTTAAATTATCCTTAACAGGCAAGCCCTGCATTCTTCTGTTCTGTTAATTATTGCACATTCCCTAAGCCTTTTATAATTATTTTTTAACTTCACTATCTGAGTTTAGCAGATTAACAGCTAGTGGCACAAAAGAATGTTTGAATCTGTTCAGTTTACAGTTTGGGACCCTGAACCTTCTGCCTGATGGCATCAACTCAAACTGACTGTGAAGAACATGGGTTGGGTCATTGATCACCTTCCTGCTGAGTTTCCTCACAGTCTCCTCAAAAATTTGCTGAAGTGAGTTTGGGGCCACACCCATTATTTTACCTGCTCTTTTAGTCAAGGTAAAAATCTGTGCTTTAAGTTTGACTGACAGGTCACCAAACCATGTTGACATGTCATAGCGTAAGATAGATTCTACACATGCTTTGTAAAACATCAGCATTACATGTGACCTAAGCCGTCTTAAAAAATAGAGACGCTGGTGATTCTTGAGCAGACAGACTGTAGCTGCTGGACCATTGGAGCTGAGAATCAAATAACACACCCAAGTACTTATAACATGTCACCTGCTCTATGTCCCTCCCCCTGATGTTAACGGGGCTGTGGTCCCCGACAGATTTGGGATCAAAAATTATCTCCTTTGTCTTTTCCACGTTTAAGACAAGGTTTTGCTCCTCACACCAATGCACCACTTCATCAATTTCTGTCCTGTAGCTGATGGCATCTGTGCTTTTACTGAGTAAACTAAGAATAGCTGTGTCATCAGAAAATTCAAGTATATAGTTGTTTACCTGTCTACTCCTGCACGCATACTGGTCTCGTCCCGGACTCGAGTGCATTTGGTTTCAGTCTTGAAGGCTTTATTTTGGTTGTTTTTTTTCTCCTTCTCAAGGTCTGACCCTCGACAAGTGTGAGCATATTTCATTATTTCATTACGGCCGGTAACGTGCAGAGGTGCAGAAATCAGTAAGAGAATGTCACTGTAAATGTTCTGAACTTGAAAAAAAAACATTTGATTCACTTTGAAGTTGTTCAGTGTAAAGTGCCAGTGGAAGTGGGATTAAAGATGAGGTTCTCAAACTGTGGGTGAGCGTCCAAAAAAAGGGGCGCAGAGTATTTAAATGCAGTACAGTTTGTTCGGCTTATTTTAAGTTTAAAAGAACATTAATCAGATAAAATGGAGATACATTTATAAAAACATTGACATATTTGTTCAAAAATAACTGTAAAGTACAAATACATGTAGGAAATGACAAAGCTGGTCTCGATTTGGTCTCAACGGGCCGTGGTCTCTGTCTTGTCTTGGTCTCGGCCTTTAAAAGTCTTGGTCTTGTCTTGGTCTTGACTCTCAGAGGTCTTGGTCTTGTCCTGATCTTGGGACCCTTTGGTCTCGGACTGGTCTTGGTCTCATTTAGACTTGACTACAACACTACTAAGCATAGTCCAAGCCTATGTGCAGCTTTTATTGCACATTGCCTAAGCCTTTTACTTTTAGTTTTTTAACTGCACTCTGTGTTTATCAGATTAATGACTAAGGGCACAGAACAATGTTTGAATCTGTTATTAGGTTCTTTTTTTCAGGCCAAGAGTTTGTTTTCATTCCTCACAGTTTCGACTGTTCACAAACTGTTTTCCTCGGTCTGAAAAAAGAACCTAATAACACAAATTATCAGAAGACCAAATGAGCCTCAGTGGAATGTTTGAATCTGTTCAGTTTACAGTTTGGGACCCTGAACAACTCAAACTGACTGCTCCTTCCTGTCAAGCTTTCAAAGGCTGCGTTCAGACTGCAGCCTGAAGTGACCCAAATCCGATTTTTTGGCTTCTATGTGACATGTATCTGATCTTTTAATGACAGTCTGAACGGCACAGATCCGAATTTTTCAAATGCAAATGCTCCTGAATCCGATTCAGTCTGAAACGGCCAAAAGCGCATTCCATCCGACCTACACGTTAACAAGCGACAAACGTCACTATTCTGCGCTGAAGCAGGTGCTCAATGCTCGTGACCATGTTTGGACAACTTCCGTAAACACAGAGACGCTCGCTGCGGTCGACGCATGGGGTTGACGTCATCGTGTCTCCAGTGTCACATGCGGGACACTTTCGGGCCGTTTACCGTCACACTGAAGCCACAGACAAGTCGCATTTAATTGGAAATGTGAACGACCTCGAAAAAACATCAGATTTCACAAAAAAATCGGAATTGAGCGTTAAGCCCTGCAGTCTGAACGTAGCCTAAGAGTCTCCTTAAAAATTTGCTGAAGTGAGGTAAGGGCCACTATCCTGATTCATCAGATGGTTTCACTTGGTGGAAACTGTCTGACCTCGCAGCATTAGGATTCGTTCACTCGACAGAAGGCAGGTACTTTACTAAATTTATTTTAATCGCTGCTGTTTGGTCGTGACGTATGTAATGCACCAAATCCTGTAGGAAGAAGAACAATAACGTCTTTCCCCTTGATAAAATTCACCAAATATTCTCTTTAAATCCTTGATCTCGGGAATCGTTGCCAACACAGAATGTCTGTCTTCGTCTACATCCATCTCGACGTTTTGTTTACTGTTGTGCTGTTCCACAAAACGGACACAGACAGATGCGACGAGTTTGACGTCACGACTCTTTGTTGATCGGCCGGTGAACGGTCTACAACTTCCGAGGTTCTTGCAAGACCATCTGTATTCTGATTCCTGATCTAGTCGCTGGAGAGAAATGAAACTGAGCGGAGGCACTAGGTGACGCCATTTAACTTTGACTGGCAGGTTAGTAAACCATTTTGACAAACCATAAAGTAAAATTGATTCCTTAAAAATATAGAAAACAATAAGACAAAAGATACTCAAGTTAAACAAGAAATCTGCGTCTCATTTGTTGAAAGGCAGTGAAAAAAGATGCTCGTTCTATCAGTGTTTTTGTGTCAAGCGTGAGATCTGAACCTCCAACCTTCAGATCAGCGGGCAAAAACTCAACCCACTGAGCTCCTGTCGTAAAAAATAAAGAAGCACAAATGTACGGAAGCCGAGAGGGTCACAACAAACGCAAACGCAACAAATATAAATGCGACAACAACACAAAAAAAGCCACAATGGAAATGACCGCGGGACTTTATTTTAATGCAAACACCGCAACAAATACAAACGCCACAACACAAACGCAAATGCCACAACACATTAAAAAGCCACAACACATTAAAAAGCCACAACAGAAGTGACCGCGGGACTCTATTTTCCAACGGACCGATCGAGCGGTAAGTGAAGAAGAAGAACTACAACGTGAAACGAATAATGATAAAACAATAAATTATTTTTATTTACGTTTCCAACTTCTCCGTTCCTTTACTTTTCACGTTGTAGTTCTTCTTCTTCACTTGCCGCTCGATCGGTCCGTCGGAAAACAGAGTCCCGCGGTCACTTCCGTTGTGGCTTTTTAATGTGTTGTGGCTTTTTAATGAAATACAGAAAACAATAAGACACAAGGTGCTCAAGTTAAAAAAGAAATCTGCATCTCATTTGTTGAAAGGCAGTGAAAAAAGATGCTCGTTCTATCAGTGTTTTTGTGTCGAGCGTGAGATCTGAACCTCCAACCTTCAGATCAGCGGGCAAACACTCAACCCACTGAGCTCCTGTCGTAAAAATTAAAGAAGCACAAACGACTCTTGTCCAGTGAACAAAGCCACAACTGTCTGCGAGGCGTAAACAGAGCAGGTGGCAGCGGACGAGTGTCAAATCTGAGTGTGGAGAAAGAGCACGAGCTGAAGTCCAAACAGATTTAGACTCTTAAGCTTCGCTGTGAGACGAAGTGTAAATAGTCACCCTCTCGTGCCTCTTTACGCTCGCACTTCAGCCCACTCCCAGCCCTCGGCGTGAACAGGAGGTGCAGCGCTCACAGGCCGGAGCCGTATCCTGAAGGGACGGCTGTCGTATTTACTCGAGTACTTTCTCTCCGCGCTCGAGCAGCTGCAGGACTGTTTATCTTCGCGCTGGCTTTACTCTGAGCGGTTACCTGAAGATTATCTGTTACATAAACTGCGACGACTCTGGGGCATATTTGGCCAAAGCAAATATTTATATCGACTTGTCATTTAATTCTAGTATCAGAATCGGTATTGAGTATATTAGAGAGGAGAATTCTCTTGAGCTCGGGACTTGAGGACCTCTACCTCGAGAAAGTGCAATGGAACAGCCAATCAAATCAGGGTTCTGAAACACAAACTCAGGCTGGTTTGGCACATTTAGAAGCGCTTGTTCTGTCCATCAAAATCACACAAACCAGACAGTCACTTACC